GTGTCCAGAGGAGAGCCACGAGGATGATGCGAGGGCTGGAGCACCTCTGCTATGAGGAGAGGCTGAGAGAGTTGGGGCTGTTCAGCCTGGAGAAGAGAAGGCTCCGGGGAGATCTTATTGCCGCCTTCCAGTGCCTAAAGGGGCTCCAGGAGAGCTGGGGAGGGACTTTTTACTGGGGCATGGAGTGACAGGACGAGGGGGAATGGCTCTAAACTGGAAGAGGGCAGGTTTAGACCAAACATTGGGAAGAAGTTTTTCCCTGTGAGGGTGGTGAGGCACTGGCACAGGTTGCCCAGAGAGGTTGTGGAGGCCCCATCCCTGGAGGTGTTCAAGGCCAGGCTGGAGGTGGCCTTGGGCAACCTGGGCTGGTGGGAGGTGCCCCTGCCCAGGGCAGGGGGGTTGGAACTCGATGATCTTTAAGGTCCTTTCCAACCTAAACCATTCTGTGATTCTATGAACTCACTGACTTGAGTTACCTGCAGCTTTGCAGAACAGTTGTGATGAGAGAACCCCATCCGGGCACAGCTTCGTTGCACTCACCTCGTTACGGAATTGCTAAATAATTTGGTTAATGCGGGAAGTGAGCCCCACGTTCCCCACCCTCAGCCTTCAGGAGGCATCATAGAATCATAGATAACTCACTCATTTCTCCTCAAAGAGTATCCAAGACACAAGACCAACCATCCCAGAGAAGTAACGCACCTTGTATCCCATTAAGCCGTAAAGTAGAAGGTTTACAAAGAAGTTGGCCAAAGGCAGATAAAGACAGATGACAGTGAACCCTGGTGTCAAAGTGCTCACGCTGGAGCGTGCGTAGACATAAGGTCGGTCTCCTCCTTTCCTCAGGTTTGTTTATGCCCTCTCTAAACACTCCTGCTCGTCATGAATCTCACATCACCACCATGAGATGAAAAACTGTACTTCTCTAGCCAGCTCTGTGAAATAATAAAATCATCATCCCCAGCTGAGGACAGGACACGAATGACTTATTCAGAGGCCGGTTTGTGCCACAGCTCCACAGGCAGCAGATGCGATGGCTCCCTGCCCTGCCCGCGCTTCCAGCCACGCCGTCCTGCTCCCAACCACGTGCCAGCTCCGATTCCTGAGGGACCCCTGACCAGGATGAGTCACCTCACTGATGTGACAGAACCCAACGTGCATTTTGGGGAGAGCGCTTTTCTCTTGTTTCAGCATTGGGTTACAGAGCGGTCTATTGAGCACCACTGATGAATCATAGAGTATCTCAAGTTGGAAGGGACCCGTAAGGATCATAGAGTCTAACTCCCAGTAAGTACGTAACATCAGAAACAGGATCTGCCCCTCTGTGTGAGCAGGGAACCATTATGTCTGCTTAATGCATCTCTTGGAAGCGTGTCCCCTCCCCTCTGCCCCAAGGCTTCCCTTTGACTTTACGGGTCAATACTGTCGCTGGCAGCTGTCAGAGAAGGCAGACGTGCTCTGCCCTTGGCTGACCACTCTTACCACCTCTTCCGTGCTGGCCCTGGTGTGCATCTGATGCTAAGATGCAAAGAGGAGGGAAAAAAAAAATAAATCATTGAAGCAGGGACGCAATCCAAAGTCATAGAGCGTACGAGGTAGCATAGGGTCAGAAAAATAATTCTGAATCCTGTTGCCCTGGAACAACCCAAAAGGACGGACTTCCATCTTTTGTGGGTGGTTAGAGGCGCTCTAATGTAAAACAAAGCAACTGTGAAAGAAGGAATAAGAAAATCGTGTAAGGAGGTGATTGTTCTGACGAGAGGAGCTCTACAGCCAAGCGGCACCGAAAAAGAGAAAGACATTAAGGTAAGGAAGCAATGACGCTTCCCCAGTGAGCTACAGGAAAGTAAAGAAACCACTCCAGCAAGGAAAAAAGGCTTCTGGTAAGGTTATGTATTAATATTCGCAACAATGCCGAACTGAACGCAAAAGCATGTGTGATTCACCAGCCGGAATATTTAAACACCCCCTGATTTACATTGCAGATTAAAGGCGGGCATCAACACAGCACTCGGGTTAAAGCCACCCAGCAGGCAAAGGCAAGGTCAGAAGTTAAGGTTTCTAATCACATCGTGAATTTTGCCACTTCGTACACACTGCACATTTTACGTCAATATATTAAGCTGGCTGATAATGCTACTCTGTATTTCAGCAATGCTGGCATTAAAAAAAAAACAAAACCCAACATATTTTCATCAGTTATTTCTTAAATTATTTCTCAAAATATTCCTCAAGTTTAATTATCTCAAAAGTAATTAATTTCACACAATATCACAAAGCGGCGTCTCCTTTTTTTCCTGAACCCCTTTTTCCAGCGGTAAACTTGAAATAGTTTATGTAAATCCCAATATTTAAAGGCTTAACCTTTTCCCATTTACAAACAGTTTTGATTAAGTCTCTCATGAAAACAAAGGAAGTCTAAAATGCTAACACATGCCAAGCTTTAGTCGGAATTGTAGCCTTTTCTTTTTTTAATTAGACACCTTAAAAGGTGTCTTCGACTGATAAAAACGTTCAGAACACTTTACTGCCAAAACAAACTCAATCCCTGAAACAACATTTGTTCCAGAGACCACCATCCATAGCATCACCGGAGTCAACAGGAGGCTTTCCATCAGCTCGAGCGAGCACGCAACCAGGGCTTAAATCCACGTCTGCTAAAGCACCGTGAAGTTCGAAGTTAAAGATGACCTCGAGAGAAAGGATCCTTACGTATTTCCAGTCTTTTTGAACCACTTGAGGACGCGGCGTAGTGGTCTCGCATGCACAAATAGACCAAACGGAAGCACACAGGGCTTCAAAGCTACTAAAGCAATTTTCTA